CTAAGTAGCTCAGTCTTTTAACTCTAAATTCACACTTATTCCATTTTAACAGACAGAAATGGCCTTATTGCTTGGATGCTTTAAAGCAAACTGGATAGAATGGCTTGGTTTGTGGCTCTGATTGCTGCATTTCAGAAAAAGCAGCATTTGCAGCTTAATGAAAGAAGAAAACAGATTTGATTATAACCGCAAATTAATTTTGCCATAAAAATATTCTTATATATAGTAGATATTTTTCTCCAGAAGTTGCAGAGATGTTTTCCAGAGACCAAAAATGTTAATACCACATTATGTTGGAATTCCCAACAGAATTGTGAACTAGTTGGATTTCTTGACCTGTGTTGTGTTTTCCAATCAATCATTAATGCCTTTCTGATAATTATGGAAACCTAATGTAACAAAGATTATAATTAACACGTGACTGGAAAATGGCTGTTTTTCTCTCATTTTTCCAGGTCTCCCTTGAAAAAGAGATCTTGAACACAATGGAGCTTCATGGTAAAATAAAAGTTAAATACATTATAGTATGTTATAAACCATTTATTAAGTGTTACTAAACAGCTTATACTGTAAATGCCAAAGAAGAGAATTTAAAATAAAGCATGAGCAAATATGTTAAAAACAAACAACAACAAAAAACCATGTAAAGTAAACATCAATTTTTCAAGCTCCATGACAAACTCCTGCTGACTCCACAGCACATGTTCTGCTTTCTGGACTAGGGTCAAACAACTCCTCCCAGAGAGAGCTGCGGGTCAGAGCAGGGTAAGTTATGTATGAGCTAAGAACACACCGAGGGAGAAAGCAGCAACTGCATGGCACATCTCTCTAGGAAGTAACCTTGATGAAAAATTCAGTTGTTTGCAGCTCCTGGCGTCCCTCAGGCATGAATAAAGCGAGGCCCAGACAGAGAGAAAAGACCTGGGCTCAGCTTGAAACTACTCACCGACCCACTGCTGAGGAACACACACACTGGCGAGCATTAGGAGATGGGCACGAATTAAACTTTAATCACGCCTCAAATAGATTAAGCGACAGGAGTCGAGTCAGCATTTCCAGGGCCTTGCTCTGCCTCAGTTGACCATCTTTCTTTGAACTCCTGCTAAATTAAATGCCCACAGGTACCTTTTTCTTTGCACCTCAGATTAGCTTTTAGGCAAAGGGCTACTAGAAACAAATCTGAGGTAGAAAACAAAACCTGCACGGCTCCAGCAACTTAGTACTGCACCTCCATAAATTTGGGGGACTTGACCGAGGCTTTTAAAAATGGTTGACAAAAAGCACAACAAGACACAGTAAACCACTGTTCACAGCCAGCTTCATGTTTCACTGTTGACTGCTTCTCACTGTGAGTACAATGGGTCCTCAGCCAGCACTGTAGTACTCGAGTCCAGGCCATAATAATTTAGCATAAGACACTGATATTCACACTGTTCACTTCTATGTAGTGTGTGCGCGGTAATGAGTGCATTTGCTTGGCTATTATGTCACACACAGTAGGTAAACTCATTTTAAAATACAGTAGACCTGGGTCATTTGTGTTTAACGCAGACCTTGATGGCTCGGACCGGTGTAACAGGGAATCGACTGACTATTCTTTGGTGACTCAGACTCCAACACCGGGGTCTCAAGACATGACTCAAACTCGAGGTTTAGTGACTCGACTACAACACTGTCCTCAACTTGAACCAAGTAGATCTTATTTTAATGATCCTATGAAACCCTTTGTTAAAAAGCATCATAACACCTGTCTGATGAGCAAAGTTTTGTTGTCCTTTTCATTTGAACATTTCAAATTTGTTTCACCTCGGACTACAACCTGCTCTGATAGGTGTGATCACAATAGTAACCCCCAGCAGTGATGTCACAGGGTCCCAGGTCCACCTGTTTACCACTGGAGCAAGGTGAAAGGTCAAAGCATGAAGGTCAGAAGGTGATGAATTATTCTTTCAGGTCAAGCTTTTTTAAATGTTTTCCTGACCTCTGGAAAGATATTGCTGTTTTGCTGTTTATCTTTTAGGATTTGTTTTGTTGTGAATAAACTGTTCTTTAATGTTTAAATTTGGTCTACGGCCCCTTTAATTTAGTTCTGGCATGAGTGTGATGACAGTCTTCACACTACTTGTTCTCAGTGCAGTGTCTATTGTGTCACTATTTAAATAACTAAAGCTAAGGCTCATTTCTGAAAACTGATTCCAGAAATGTTTTTTAAACAAGATTTAAAAAAAACAAACTGAAAACAGGTGAACTAATGTTGTCTCTGTAAGAAAATGAGATTTTAGGATTCAAGGACAGAGATTTTATGCAGTGTTTCCTTGTTAAATGTAGTTAACAGATCCCTGCCTTTAACCCGACAGGATTCACCCGAATCTTGTAGCTAATGATCATTTTCAGTGTGGAGGAGCTGGATGTGTGTTTGTGCAGCTGAGTCTCGGTCAGGGTGAAGGATGAATGATATGAAGGGATTGACCTGTCACATAGCATTTGACTTACTATCCTTGGAACAGGATAAAAAAGGAACCAAATGCCAAGCGATACAAGTGACGCAATCCTCAAAAAAACACACACACACACACACACACACACACACACACACACACAGACAGACAGATAGGGAGATTAATGTTTTATAATAAAATCTCAACCCCACCAGCCATTCTGTGCATGGCATGGAAAAATAGTAAGCTTATCATTTTCATGAAAATAATAGTCACCAGTGGCACTGGCGGTGTGTGTCAGCCACAGGATTTCCATGCCCTTTTCCATGAGTGTGTCTGTTCTTGCTGTAGGGCCCCTGTAAGCCCCTAGACCTCTTGGCAAAGCGTGGGCTGTGCCTGGTGGGGGGAGATGTGACGGATGCCGGAGCCTCGGAGCCTGCTCGCTGCTCTGTGAATTTTCCCAGACTCATTTGCATTCATAAAGAGCCTACTCCTTGTCACAGAGTGTTTTCTTTTTTAGTCTGCCTCCAAAAATCCCGTGCGACTCCTGGTGGGAGTACGCCAGGAAAATCTGACTGTCAAAGACGACAAGACGAATGAATCCCTGTGTCAGACGTGTGTGGCTTCAGTGATGACAGATGGAGAAGAGCTGTCCCTTCGTTGATGGGCAGGCTTCATTTTGGAATGAATAAATATGAACCCCCCCCAAAAAATAATTACAAGTGTTGTTTTATTTGACAACTCTCAGTGTTTGTTGATGGAAGTTTGTTTGTTAATGTGTTTGTGTGTGTTCTAGTGGGCAGTCTCGCTGACCAGGTGACAGCTTGATTTAATTCCACACAGTCGTGGTGCAGTGGTTTTCAACTCTAACTTTTCATTCTGGTTTTCTAGTGAAGCACCGATGAACACCCGGAGCAGCCGGTGGATATAAACATGCAATTAAACACAATTAATTTCCAGATTCTCCCCTCTCTTCATGCTGAAGTGTCCTTCAGCTAAATGATGCACCCCCCCCCGACCACCACTGGGAAAGTTGTTCCGTATGCAACTCTGCACTCTGACCTCTTGCAGAGGAAGGGATGTCACATGGGATTCTGGGGGCCCAGAAGGAGTATTACTTTGGATGCCCATTTTGAATCCAAGTGTATTCCAACTGAATTTATCCCCATCTTTCACCTCACTAGATACACATACTCAAAATGTGGTCAAGTAAACAGAAAATTCCCAATCAGAGAACATGAAATGATTAGCTGTACAGTCAGCTAACTGCTTGTGTCAATTCAACACACTATTACATTCATATGGCAGGTGGTTGTGTACACAACATTTTACAGAAAGCACATTTAAAGTTGATACAAAGATCTGTCTGAGGATTCAAACCTAATCCTGAAAAAACTGATTATAGAGTAACTGATTTTTCTCACTTGGGGGAAGTTGTATATTTACATATCCAGCTATAATGAAGCTATTCATTAATTTGGAGTTGTGTTTCTGGCCACCTGGCAAAGCTAAGTCAAATGTTTATTATCTTTTAGCTTTGTTTTGGTCTCTACCAAATTAAAGAAATGCGTAGTTTTTTAGCTGATGAATGCTAAACAGTGCTCACTAGTAAGTCACCGTGAAACGCTTTAGGAAGAATTGTGTTCATTCTTCCAGTAGAGTTCAAAGACTTGTAGAATCAGTGAGCACTGAAGCTGCTCTGATAACACTTGGTGGCCCAAGGCTTTACTGAAGCCCTTTTCAGACATACACTGAAACCCTGAAGTTATCTAGACATTACCCGGAGGAGCTGTATGTGAAAACTCAAATGTCCGAGTTCGTTGACCCGGGCCTTAAGTGGACTTTACTCTGACAACTCCCTAGTACAAAGTCTGCATAAGGTCAAAGTGAACTGGAATGAGCCCTTGTAAGAAAACAGCCACATATAATCTGGAGCATTCACACCAAGTTAGTGGGTGTGTTGATGATGTTCTATTATGTGAGTGGTGCAAAACTGTAAGAATACAATCATCTGATGGTCATGATTGTACATTTACAGTGAAGATGCCAACAAAACTATCTAAATAGAGACATGATGTGATTTGGGAACTTCTGTCATTAAGAGCTGGAGCTGAAATCGTCAGACAAATTTAAGGAAGGGCAAAAGACTCAGCTGTTTATGACCAAGCTATAAACTGGCTACGTCACTGCATCATGTCCTGCCTCCTGCACACTCTACCCAGCAGCCCCCAAAATAAATATACCATACCATATACCTATATCCAAAAGTAAACTGATAATATACTATATTATCAACTTACAGCAGTGGCAGTACTGTTACAATATAAATAAATGGGCAAATGACTGAATGAATTAAAGCAAATCTAAAAAGACAATGAAGTGCTGCTACAGCAGGACTTGAAATTTCACAGATTTTGATGTAAAAAAAAACAAAAAACACACACACACAGCTCTAGAAGGCTTTGTAAAGCTTGTCATTTTCACACAAAACAGCAGGAAATAACAAAACAAGCTGAATGTGAGCGACACAGATTCCCTAAACCTCAAAGAACACGGCGCAAGTGGAGGATGATAAAAAAGGAGAACATCTGGTGAGCCGAGCACGATGCCAGGACTAGACAAAGCCGTGTGTCTGGCAAACATACCTCCACATTTACCTAAACACACACATGCACAAGCACATACAGTACTTTTAGTCACGCACACTCAAACCTGCCTGGCCCGGAACTTGCAAACAAGCAAAAATCCCCTCCAGATACACAGTTACAATCAGACACATGCATGCACATTACAGACAGTGTCCACACAGTTCAGTTAGAGAGAAAGAAAAAAACAAAAATAGGACATAACTGGAGAGTCCACTGATCAGACAAGACTAATCTGCATATACTCAGAGGCTTAGAAGTGAATATGTGTGAGAGAATAAAACAGTATGCCTTCAAGCAGGTCACCCGCTCTCCCTGGATTACTGTACCCACCTCCGAGCCTTTTATCCTCTGTTTGGCATGCAATCACGCTGATTTAGCGTGCGCTGGATGAGGGTTTCACACAATGGATTGGATGTAAGAGATGTTAACCTGTTGAGAAAGGGAAAAACAGTCAGAGAAACAAAAGAAAAAATGAAAAAGGGTGATTTATGTTTAAAATTTCACCAATCTATGTACCAGAATGATCCTAGAAGGTGTCTTTGTGCATATCTGTTATGCCAGATTTAGTTACAGTAGCTGTGAAAAGATTTAACCAACTGTAGATAGAGAAGCAAAACACAGAAAGAATGAATATTTGGAGGAAATGTGTAGTATTAGGCACCGAGAACTGATGACCCATCAAATATTGAAGAAATGTTTGCTGGAACCATGAATTCACACTTCAAACAGACTTCCGGTAAGACTGCCCTCGTCATTGAATGAATATTTCATTTTAGAAAATAGAAAATAGAGTGGCCCTGAAAGGCACCATTACCAAAGCGTAATGTCAGGGGGGAAAACATTCTCCACATTTAGTTGAAAGTTAGAGTGAAAATGATAAGAGCCATCCATGCGTAACACAATCTGATGGGGTAATGCATTGGCATCACATTAGCATGACTGTATTTGACCGCATGGCAGCATGTGTGACTAAAATGAAAAACTCCGGGAATCAGAGCACAAGGGTTTTCAATTTCATCTCGCTCATCTGGTGAGAAGGAATCAAAGTCAAAAATGTTCAGGTCAACTCATACCCAGCCAATGCATTTACAGGTAGAATCGTAATCAGATGCTTTTAGGTAATTGTTTCAGGCAGTCATCTAATTTCAGATGCATTGATTTGTTTTTCTCCTTTCTATTTCAGGCTAAAAATATCTCAGGTAAGTGCATGGTGCCGTCTGGTTAACAGTCTAGATTTTTTGCTATTGCCTTCAGAGGTATCAAAAGGTTTATTGAACAATATATGTGTAAAATTGTACAAACAGAAACAGAGAACACTATGAAATGTTACTACATTGAGTCCCCCCCTTGGCTACGCTAACCAACTGAAAGTTAGGCCAGACACATCTCTAGATGCTCTTTTTCTATGGGAAGCACACATCAAAGTAAAAATGCATATGTGCGAGTTGAAAACGTTCCCACTTCAGTGAAAAATTTACATTTATCCAGAGATATTTTGGCTACACTTCATACATGTACACAGGCAGGAAGAAAAAGGAGAGAGACGGGAGCTGTCACAGTAAACACACAGTAAGCTAGCTACAGCTCCCAGCTGCACAGTCTTGGGGTGAGTAAACAGAGAGTGCAAAACAGTTCAGCACTCAAATGTGCACAAATTTGTTGTGGGAAGGGACATAAGCATTTTTTGCTGGGAGGAAAACAGACACTGTAGAGTTATAACATACTTTTGCAATATGCTGATTTGTTTCTCTGATCTAAAATACAGTAGATTCTTTTGTCTCTTTAATAAATTGTTAGAAAATTACATAATTGCAGCCAGTCATTGGTCTCCATTATCAGTGATTACATTAGGAAATTAAGATGACAATTTACCCTATATTAAGGATAAGTGACAAATGTGATATTCTTAATATATTCATCTGAGTGTGGTTCAACCACAACTCTCGACTACTTGTCTACAGACCAGGACATACTGAATGGAACCAAGCAATATAAAAATTAGTTTCAGCTTTGTTATTACAAGTCATAAAGCGGTTAGCTTTACTGAAAGGCTAGCATTCATATCTATACTGTACATACAGTAAATCTATATGCAGTAAAAACTAAAATGCTGGTGCCTAAAATGTTATTTTGTGAGGGTATAAGAGGAAATCTGATGGGGTTTTAGAGTTATCAGACTAATACAACACAAGGAAATGGTTGATTTGATTTCACACCTTTAATCTGATTTTTGTGTGTGCATTTAAACACACACTCTCATATTATACTACACAATGAAAACCAAGAGGAGCAGGAGAACTTCTCCCCAAGTAACAACACCTGCAAAATATTTGCTCCTGTTCCACTCTTGAATTTGCTCTGCACAGAGAGAAAGAGTCATAGACAGAGATATCTGTGGTGTGGAAATAGTTAAAGCCATAAAGACGTACAGTACCTCAGCCCTGACCCCGTTCCCTTCTAGGTATCCCCCTGCGCAGAATTCTTATTCCCTACCAAACTGACAAAGTGTTTTTAATCTTTTCTTTCCCTCTCTCCTGGAGATTGGGGAAACAAAAATCAATAGCTCCTGGCAGGCGATCTAGCAGGCTGGTGAATTACACGGTGTGCGCTGAAACCAGAGCGCTGCATCACAGGGGCCTTGGAATGAGAGACCTTGGGAGAGGCATCAGACACGTAGAGGTTGCAGGGTCACTCTGGGTCCGCAGCCTGAGGAGCAGGGTATTTACTGCCTCGGCCAGCTCGACGCAATGAAAAATAACTGCCACCCAGCACAGAGAAGGATGGCTGGGATGAGAAAGTTGGTGGGGGAGAGAGATTTTTACAGTGTGTATATGAGCAGCTGAGGTCTTGGGAGAGTTTGCTGTGATTTGTGTGTACTCCTGTCATGTGCTATGTGCAACACAGGTATGTTGTCAAGAAGAAAACTAATGCTTTTTTCTTTCTCTCTCCCAAATGGGAAATGATTCATTAGCGTTTGGTGATTTAGAACGTGGCAGTTCAGGACGATCAATATGCATAGGCCCATCTGTCAATATGTGATTTCTGCTGGTAATTAGCTGATGTGGGCCAGTGGTTGTGAATATTGCCTGGCAACTGACAGCCTGGTTGTTTCTGTCATCACAGGAGGGTGTACAGGTGGTAGTAGCTCACTGCCAATAGATAAAATACTGCACTTCAAGGCCCAAACCAGGTTCACAAACACATCCGCCATGATAAAATATGAAGTAAAGGGGCATGTCATTTATCTCTGTTTGAAACAAGGTCAAGATTTATGCTAAAAAACACAAACCTGACTCATAAATAATAATTGAAAGTCATAGTTTTACATAAGCTTGTAAAGTAAACAACAACATTTCTGTCAATATACAATTGCTCCAGAGGTGGAGGCTACATCACAGGCACTATTGAGAAAATGTGTCAGATCACTCAATTATAACAACCAAAGACAGCTGGCAGTGAGACCGTTAGGAGTGTGAAAATGATAATGATGATTATGATGAACAAAATTTTTAATTGCTTTGTTTTCAGAGCGAACAGATATTTGCAGGCTTTAGTGCGCAGCCTCTTTTCTGACTCTGCTAACGTGAATTTCAGCATTGGTTCCATTGTTTGCACTTAACTGGAGTTACTAACATTGATCAAATCATTGCTGTTCAATGAAAAATCACATCTCCAAAATTAAAAAAATTCTAATCAAATAAAAAATGAATCACAAAGAAATGCAAAGAAAAACCCAATAGGGTGTAAAGCTGCCACAGAGATGCTACAAAAGAGATTCAAAATTACCAAAAGTGGCGCAGAACGACCACAAAGTGACACAGAATGACCATATAAAGACATAAAATGACAACAAAGAAATGTAAAACTTTTTTTTTTGCTTGATCTCTGGCAGTTTTGCTTCCAAAGGGACCCTTTTAAATGTCTGTGACAAGTAGACCAATGTCTTATAATGTAATCTGTCCACGACTGTCACAGAGTTGAAGAATGGGCAGTTCTTCTTCATCCTGGAGATGCGTGGTTTTCACAGGACAGTGATGAACTACCGCAACTCAAAGATGAGCAAACAATTCACCTTCTTATTTCTAGGCACAGAAATCCTCACTATCATCCAGACAGCAAAAACATCTGAATCTTTTAATTTAATCAACTAAAATTAGATCAACTTACGGCTTTATTAGGGCTTCCATTTGCTTTTTGTTTCACTCGTAGCAGAGCCTTAAGGAGTTTAGTGAACTGCACCTTCTTGTGTTAATGAAACAATGCCATTCCTTTGCTTTTAAAAGATTCCTCTCCAGTGTGACACCTGAGCTGTTTCATGTGTTATATTCCTGCATTTTATCCTCACAATTTGTTTCCAAGTTCATAAGTTCACTCAGAGAGAAAAGCCAACAAGCAGAGGTGGAATAAACCCCTGCAGAAAGATCCCTCTCTGTCTCTCATTGGCATTTGCATATTAGAGTGTTTTCTGGGGAAAATGAGCTGTAGAAATTAATTCAGGATTAATTGGTGCCTTTATCTCGTTAGGACAATCTAATTTAGGGGATGATGGAATAGTTTAGACTCCCTTTTGCATAATTGGATTGCGGTGAATGGCTGTCATTACCGTCTTTTTAGCATCGTCTGTGGGCCCCCTCTCTCTCTCTTGCAGGCCCCAGCCTCATAAAGAGCGATCATGTGTTACGCCAGTGTTTTGCTAACCCCTGGAACACACCAGACATCCTGCAAGAGGCAAGCATGTGGCTAACCGCACAGCAGTGATTAACTCCCTTTTCAGAGCCATTAGCATTACACCATGGAGCACGCTGTTGAGGAGTTATCATATGAACACATAAGTGCAGCTAACAACGTGGCAATCATCGACTGTTAGAGAACAGGATTAGTTTTGAGTCTGTCATGCTTTGTGATTTGTGGCGCTGACAGATTTACCTGACCCCCAGGGAAGCTGGACAACACACATCAAAATCTCTGTGCTTTCTGAGAGGCTTTTATTTGAAAACTTTCAGTTCTTGTCCAGCTCATTTCCGACACATTTCGCCCTTTCATTACTTCCACAATATCTCTGACGCAGTTCACAGTGGGCTTTTTTTTTTTTCAACGTGGGATGAAAATCAATAGAAGAGGAGCAAAGCTCATGTGAAGGATCACTCACTGGAATACCTGATCTAACTTCAACAACATTGATGTAACTATGGAAACAAGTTCCCTAGATGAACGAGGATATGCCTATCTCCTAACAAAAGGTGTTTTTTTTTTATATCTCTCTCAGCCAGTTACCCTATACCATAACACAGGAGAGGCTTATATCTTCAACTCCACACTATGATACCATCATCATTTTTCTGAAAGCACAAATTGTATAGATATTATTCTGCGGGCCGCTCACTGGTAAACAAGGCAGAATGAAATCTAATCTATGGTGCTGATACTCA